GTGTGTGTGTGTGTGTGTGTGTGTGTGTGTGTGTGTGCGCGCGCGCGCATTTCTACTATCCTACCTCTAAGTAGACCACCCAGGGCATAACCAGTGTAGCCACCAGTAGATCAGCAACAGCCAGGCTGACAATCAGGTAGTTGGTGGTTGTCTGCAGAGCCTTTTCTCTGGACACAGCCATGCACACCAGCACGTTGCCAAAGACGATGACAAAGATGAGCAGGGTAAGAAGCATAGCGTAGTAGTTGTAAGGGTGCTTTTGTTCCTTTTCCGTTTCGTTGAAGCTCCATGTTCCATTTTCGTAGAAACTGTCATTGTAGGCATACTGGGAAAAGACATCCATTAGCTGTGAGTGATGGAGGCCAAGATGGGGCCCTGCAAGACAGAGGGTAGCGTTTAATTTTATTTTATTTTTTGCATCCATTGAAATGATTACACACAGTGAAAAAATAAATTACTGTCACAGGATATTGCATTGGGATCATCTATAATCCTTCAATAATTGCTGATCAGAAACTGTTTTCTGTTGACCTCTCAAACCCTGCAGCACCCAGTAATAAGTTTGGTCTTTATTTCCACTTGCTGCAGAGATAGAAATCAAATCATTTGTGTGTTCAGTGAACTTAAAGGGGGGAAAAAATAGAATAGGAGATTAAGTTTCAACAAATAAAAGTTTGAATTGACCACAGCATACCATGACAAAAGAAAAACATATTTATTTATTTATTTATTTATTTATTTATTTATTTATTTATTTATTTATTTATTTGCTTGTTTCACCAGTGTTATCAATGTGATTAGGGATGTGTAAATATAGTTTTATGAGCATGTTGTGATTTTAAATTAGCCTCATACATTGTCACAGTTTGAATCTACTTTCTGSTTTTCTTTTATTTCCATTTGAGTCCATTGCTTTTATCTTGTTCTGTGTTGTCTTAGCCACCAGAGGTTCTCAATCACCTCTGTGTTTGCCTCCTTAGTCACCACCTGCTTTTCGTTTCCAATCAACCCACATGTTAACCAACCTTTATCGTCCACTATGTACTTAGATATTTATACACTCTATAGTTTTTCTCAGTCCTTAGCCTCTTTCACTAATTACTTTCAAGCGCAGACTGAGATGCTCTCTTGCCATCTCAAAATAATTTATGAAAAAAAAAACATTGAATGGAATTTTGTGACTGAATAACTTGTGATTAGTTATAATAATTAAATTTGAACAGGAAGAGAATCGGCATATGTATACTTAAAATGTGTGTCCCTCTGCAGGCTAATCAAAGACTTATTTAATTTATTTACTTATTTATGTATTAGTACTAATGTAAAACGTACCACCACGGGGTGCAGGGTGTTCTATTAAATATTGTGGTTTTATGAAGGACATGAGCGACTTAGCGTAACCAGTGGAGAGAAGCCATTGTTTTGTTTGGTGCTGATTAGGCTCGGGATCATACACTGARAGTGGCTCTAAACATGAATTAAGTTTTTAGAGTGTTATGGAAATATTTATTTAACAAAGACAGAAATATGTGGTCCAAGAATGGAGGTATACTCCGTGGGATGGTCAGCTGGGTTTAATTGCAACAACAGGAAAKACAGAGAACAACATTGAGCCATCAGACTGTCCCCCTGGTATCCTTTGCTGTCCCCCATTACAACAATTCCTATATCAAAATGTTCAGCTCCTTCAGGACAATCCGACTATCTCTTTTGGTATTTCAGCAATTTATACTTTTTTGAGATGCTTAGCTTTTCGGGACTTTTTAAAAAAATAATGAATTTGGTTTATGAATTCTTATAGGTTTTTAGAGTTGTGCTTGATGTGTTGTTTTGTATATTTCAGTATATTACATGTCTAGTGAGCCAAAGACAAATTTCCACAATGGTGCATTAAAGTTCTATTCTATTCTATTCTATTCTATTCTATTCTATTCTATTCTATTCTATTCTATTCTATTC